TAGACTGGTAAAACAGACTAGGTTTGTTACTTTTTTTTTTAGAAATAAAGCAAGCAAAATTTAAATTTAGGGTTGCCATTTCACCAGTATGAAAGATAACTCACCTTTGACATTCCTTTTGTTGAGAAGTACAACCCTGACCGTCTTAAAAACACATACAGTTTCTTCCATGATTTCCTGCTCATTTCTTTCACATACAAATATCCCTGGATCTCAGGACAACTGCTGGAGTTTAAGACGTTCTGGAGGTAAAAGAAGAAAATAATTGATAGTTCAATAAATCAAACAGTCAGCTAAGATTTGTGGTTTTCTATTCTGTGTGAACTATTCACAATGTGCTAATAAACCACTTATTAAAAATAATATTTTTTAAACTGGATATCCAGGAAGGTTATAAAGGGACTCGAAGAAATGAGCTAAATCTGACTAAACGTGTGTTCTTTTGTAAAAAAAAATAACTCAGACTGTAAATAAAATACTGTAGATAATCAGTCAATTGTGAAAAAAAAATCAGTTGTATGTAGCATATCTTTGTTCACTAACACAGTTGTCAGCTAGATTATAAGAGAGGGGTCTTATCTTGTAAAAAGTCAAAGATGTGTGGGCTGATGTTAGACTAGGGGGTGATGGGAAAGAGAACACATGTCTGTGTTGTACAGTACCTGCAGGAGCTGAGATGGGGGGATGGTCCCATTGGTTTCCTGACACCAGGCAACCATTTGCTCTGGGAAGAAGCTCTGTCAAAAAAAAAAAAAAAAACTTTTCTTAGTGATAGATGCTATTTACACTAAGTGCAAATAGCTATATATTATATTTACACTCTGTTCAAATAGAAAAATGTTCTGCTATTTTACTACTTATTGCAAATAGTGGCAATTTTCTGCACCTCAGTATTGTAGTACATTATAAAACAGCATGCAATGATAAAGTATTGAGTGTAAATTATAATTTTAATTCAAATTATTAAATTGGGACAATAAAGCCCTCCCTACACCTACCCTAACCCTACCCAATACTTTATTTTCAACTTTTTCATTTTGATTGAAAATAAATGCCTTTCCAGTGAGATATGAGGTTTGAAAAGGGTCGATCACATCAAAAAGACTACGGCACACGCTTTACCACCTACGCCACTGGAGCTGATGTTTGACAACCATCTTTTGGTAGTTTTGACTACCCCAATCACACGTTGGTGGGTGGAGTTAGTGTAAATAGCCTCTGCCAACAATGCGGGCCATTTGCACTTAGTGTAAATAGACACTCCATTTAATATAACTTTTTACATTTACATCTCAATGTTGAGTTCTATTACGGGGCGACAGAGACGTGAAGCGAACGGATCCATGTGCATGCTTTTATTAAGAGACGTGGTCATAACAGGCATGGGTCAAACAACGGCAAACAGGTACAACACAGGCAAGACAAAGAGTAATCCTAGGACAAGCGTGGGTCTTCGATAGACGAACAGAACCCAGAGGGCTAGACAAAAGGGGTAATCCGTAATACACAGGCAAAGATATTCACACAGGAAAACAGGCAAGGCAAGACTAGACTAAACTATGAACTAGAAACTAAGACAGGAAATATAATACAACTACTACTACTGCTACTACTGATAATATTAATAATAATAATGCAAAGTAACAAGAACTTTTCTATGATTAAAGATATCCATCTGCTTGTTTAACATTTTGCCTCATCACACAGAAAAAAACAATCTTCAACAAAGGGAAAGGTTTTGTAATGACTGCTGGAAAAACCATGTCTTTAGTGGTTAAGGTGGATGAAAGAAAAGAGCAATTATTTGAAATTATTCTAAAAGCTCCTTGGTCCAAAAACCCACAAAAAAATGGAGTATTACATAATCTTTTAAAAGCATAAGCCTGCCACACATTGACTTTCTTCTAATGATTTTCTACCACCACAAGGATTTTCAGGAGATTCAGTACAAAGCTTTGCAAAGCTCAGAGAATAACTTGAAAAAACTCATAACAATTATCATTTACAGTGCACATAATGTCTTAGAATTTAAACAAAAATCATTGGTACAACATTGTATATAACCTGCACCATATAATGAACTGACATAAATATTCTAAATTACTTACTTTTTATGGCATAACCAACTGAATACATCAATGATCTGTTATGTATTATATGTAAAGGATAGTATAAAGTCAATCATCTGCTATTGCAAAATAATCCTCAAATCCTTAACATGAACCCCTGAAGGATTTTGTTGTTTGTGTTAATAATCAGCGGACTTTACACTGTCTATCTTTTTACACTGTTACTTATCAAATAAATCAACATGAAATTTTGATGAGAGTTGAAATTATTTTATTATGTGAGAAGAAAGAGCCCATGGAGAGACATGAACCTAGCAGAGCTGTGTACGAAATTGGCTGCATAAGTTTAACTGTAAATTTTCACCAGATCAAGATTTATCAGAATCCAGTATTCCAAAGAGCCACACTCAGCTGTGCAGGCCACATACTTAAATTCTTCCCAAATGGAAAAACGTCAGCATACAAATGCTTGGCAATCCCACAAGTGACTGAACAATCATGGATGAGACAAATGGATGGAGAAATCATCATGAAACTAATTGTCAGTGTCACATCAGGTGAAAATTTTGCTGACTAGCATGAGAATCTTTACGGAAGACACACTATATCTGACTGTGTATTTAATATAATTTGTTTTTTATTCATTTTATGGAAGCACATACATTTTGCCACGTGTAAATGGGATGCAATCTGATCAATCAAGGCGCATAAGGTAACTGTGTGTAAACAGGCCCAAAAAAAGTGTTACCAAAGATTCTCTAGTCAATAGCGTACTTGTGTTACTGCAATTTAAAACAGTGTCAAAGGTAAAAAAAAAATAAAAATCTTACAATTAAAGCACAGATTTCCTTTCCATCTCTGTCTCCAGCTGAATATACAAGAGGACTGAATGTTCGTGAAAGTGTTTGATTACCAGCCCAAACAGTAAGAGGCATGGGTTTCTTTTGGATTGTGTGAGAGAGAGTGTGAGAGCAGCTCACTGAACTGGAATCATGTCACTTGATATCTGCATCTACCAAATAAGACTGAAAACAGTCAATTAATGTGAGGAACTTTCCTTCAGCAATAATCCGTGTCATGTTACTTATGTACCTACCGACACCTACACCTAGACTACGAGACAGAAATAAAAAATCATCTACAATCACCTTCACCTAATTATGAAATAGTTCAAGTGAGGTCTTGGATTAACTTACCAAAGGATTTTTAAAGAATTCATATTTCGCATAGTTCTTCCTGAAGAGAAATTTACTCTCACTGGTCATTGACGCCTGCACCTGGACAACCAGCTCATGGTCTTCTAAACATCTCTCTGTGGAATTATGGAGAAAAAAAAAATCAGGTTAAAATAAGTCACATACACCCTTCAAAATCTGTATTGCTCTTCTAAAAAGGTCTGTGTGTATAGACATATGACAAAAATGCATCTATGTAACAAAAGACTCAAACGTGGTGTAATATTTGCATCTTGAATGACATCATTGTCTGTTGGCATTCATGCAGGCAGACAAAAAATAAACAGGGTGAGCGATCCCTGCCTGATGAAAAGAGAGTTTGTCTGGAGGAGATAAATCTCCCCACACCCCATTCAGCTTAACCAGTAAAGGGACTTACTGACTTAAAAAAGCCCCCCATTTGATCTATGCAATGATCTCTATTTAGTTTCTCTGTCTTTATCACAATCTCTGTCCTATGAGACTAAATGGTGGTGTAATTAACGCTAGTCATGAATGCTAAAAAAAACGACCCAGAACCCTTACAAGGACATGTTCTTCATCCAGCTTTTGAACTGTTCAGAGGGCTTGTTTGGCAACAGGATGCTACAGGGGGATACACTGCACCAACCCCAAAAACATCCTTAAGGGGCGATCACAATACACTTTTCATTCCATATGAATATGGAAGACAGGAAACGCAAATTCATGCAAATTTCGCTGCAAGTTTGTTGAGCTCCGCCTTGCAAATTTGTATCACGCGAAGACGTGTGACCAAGAGAAGACTGATAGCCTACATCATGGTGTGACCTCTTAGCATTGCAGAAAAGCAGAGTAGATTCCATATTTTGGATAGTTTATATGTTTTTAGGAATAATCATGTTTAAAAAAATAAAAAATAAAAGACGTTGCATAGTGTGACATCATATTACAACCATCACATTGTCCGAAATTTTGCATGCTCAAAGTCTAGCATGAGCTATAGCTTTACCAAAATACAGAGTGAGAAGTTTGCAAAAATGCAGCGAAAACTTGGCTTACTGTCCTCAATGGAGGCTCGAACCAAAGCTCGGCTTGAGCTCCGTGTTCAAACCTCCATTGTGGTACTACCTAGAGGGAGAATTACGTTTGGAATTTTTGGTCAACTTCTCTATTCTCGATACAGACACTTAAAAATTTACTTAACCTAAAATGGCCTTTATTGTGGCAATATCTAAATAACTAAATAATTACTTACATTTGGTCTAATCATCATGCACAGCATGAATGTGTTAAGAATACAGTGCATGAGCCATGTGAACATTTTTTATGATGCATCTATGGTGCTTTTGCCTTCTTTTTGAAGCTTTAAAACTCCAGCACATTATTAAAAATCTCCTTTAATGTGCAATTAAGAATGTATTTGATGGTTTAAACTGAAATGAGGGTGAGAAATTACAGAATTGTCATTTTTGAGTGAACTATTATTTTATGGTAAGAACCGCACATTTTCACTTGCTGCAGTGCAAAAAAATTAAACTCTTCTTTATCCACCACATTTGTTCCTTTCTACAGTCACTGCGTCTAGAAAGCATATAGCAATTATTCACCCTAACAACTATTTTGTATATGTGTATCAATTTATGCGCACTTTAATCCACTTTACGACAAACCCTGTTTATGACTTTTCCCCACAACACATCCATCTTGAAATGACGCTTGGAGATACAGAAGTACTCTGAAGTGACAAGCTTTTCCATCATCCCACCATTCAATATTTGGCTTAGTAAGGAGAGAGTCGGGATTGCAGAGAGATGATGTCATGCTTTCGTTCAACCGCACTTTGCACTATTCTAGCAGAGTGGATACATAACAAATGAGGAATGGAGCTGCTTTGACGTTTTAAACGCAGCCTGTTTCGCATATAAAATAAAGCATTTGTCCAAACTGTTTGTGTCAGTACTGTTGTGCAATGTAGAAAAAGTGAATCAAGACATGAATCAGAGAAATTAAATTAATATTATTAATGTAAAGGTATCAGGGATACCAAATACCAGCACAATGGCTATTTTCAGAGATCGGGCTTACCTTAAACAAGTTAAAAAAAAACTTTTTTAAAACTTAAATTCCAAACACGCATTTTTCATATGTGTAGCATTGAGAAGTCTGATTCATTTTAGTAAATAAGTTAAATAAATTGGTTAAAAAAAGCAATACACTAACTGACCATACTGATTTATCTGAACAGAAATCTCTGTGAGGTATTTTTTATAT